CACCAAAACCATAATTCAAGGAAGAAAATTATATCATAAGTTGTATTTCCTTAAAATGAAAGGAAGTTTTGTTTCATAAATGACATTGTTAGGTGAATGGAAAAACCAGCTGAAAGGAAATTTTTTTATTAAATCATAAGTATGTACATTGATGCATTTATGGGGTTCAGTGTACTTATTTCAGCAGTGGACTTGTATCTAGAATATATTAAAGGATCCTCAAAATCTAGTGGTAGGCTGGGCATAGTGGTTCATACCTGTAATTCCAGCACTTTGGCAAGCTCAGGTGAGAGAATCACTTAAGACCAGGAATTAGAGACCAGCTTGGGCAACACAGCGAGATACTAACTCTACAAAAAGAAGAAGAAGAAATAGAAGAAAGAAGAAAGAAGAAGAAGAGGAAGAAGAAAAAATTGCCAGGCATTGTGGTGCGTGCCAGTACTTCCAGCTGCTCAGGAGGCTGAGGTGGGAGGATTGCCTTATCTCAGGAGTTGGAGGCTGCAGTGAGTTATAATGGTGCCACTGCACTCCAGGCTGGGAAGCAGAGTGAAGCCTTGTCCCTAAAATATAAAATAAAATAAATTGAAAAGGCACTTCCACAAAGGGGAAATGCAGATGGCAAATAAGCAAATGTGAGTAGCTGTGAAGGAAATCCCTTTCATATTTTTTTATTATTATTAGATCATAATTGTGTACATTAATTCTATCATAGGATACAGTGTGTTGCTTCCATATGCAGTTTGGAAAACTCTCATCCAACTGGATAACATAGCCATCATGTCTTTCTCATAATTGTTGTGTTAAGACATTTATATTCAAACTTTAGACAAATTCACATGTACCCTAATAGGATAAATTATAGGTGTGATCCTCACAATATCATTCTCTTCACCTATTCTCCCCTCTTCCCTCCCCCCCTTTGCCCGTAGTCTAGGGCTCCATTTGGATTATAGCTTTCCTAAGATAGCTAACAATTAGTTTCATAATAGTGTTGAGTACATTGGATAC